GCGCGAAATTCAGAAACAAACAATCATTTTACATTTGTAACATCGTATAGTTTATCCAGCGTTGACATAACACTAACACACCAGTTATTTTCATAATACAATATATTATCTTTTTCTAGTATCACGAGTAAATGAGATAATTATCAATTTGTCAAACAAATATAATAATCAAACAACATATTAAAAATATGTGCTAAAAATACTACTGTATTTATAAATAAATGTTTCAGTAACCCTAGTGGTACCCTATAACGTTCACGCACGCACACTTACCCTTCACTTAAAATCTTCAATTCCACTTTGAGTTTCTACTGGTAAGGTAAGGTTGTCAGGAGTCCGTACAATTTGTGATAGGCCATCAAATTCGTCTTTATTTAAATCCAGTACGTCATTTGGATGTTGATCTTAGAGAGTTTATGATTATACTTTAAAAAAATAAACCAGTCTTTGAATATATCCTTTTAAGTTGATCGATTTTCAAGTTACTATCCATCTTGCCATTGTTTTATCACATCTTATCGTTTTTGCCAATTTCATTTTAGACAGACTGAAAGTACTGTAACGAGAATCTTCAAAATTAGAAATGGAGTTTTCAAAAACAAAAATACATATATCAAAATCATAAGGTATTTCATAAAGCTAAATGTATCAGAATACTTAATCATTTCTTACGTTAATGGTTTTTCATATAAAAATTATATTGAATTGGAATAATTCAATAATAAATAATGTTACATTAACTTACGTAAATCTATATACTTATTGTATTCTTTAGGAGATAACTATATTTGATCCATGGTGAGAAGGCATATGTATTTCACGAATTGTTTGCAAATTCACCACTTGTTTTGTAATAACTGACGAACAAACATCAATACCTAGAAAGAAAAAATATTTCCAACCATTTATTCTTATTTTTAGCTATTGCATGATCCATTATATTTATTATAATCTCAGCACAATTGAATAAAATATTTTCCATTATTGACCTTATTTTTCTTATTATTATTTTAGCTGGATGGTCCTGAATCTCATAATAAACATCGTGGTTTTCATTTGTTAAATCTGTCGGAAAAGCAACTCTACTATTAAAATATCCTACCATTATATATATTAAATACCTTTGTTGAATGTATACTAGAAGATTACATTAATTATAGTACAGAGAAATCGTCAGGGAAAATTTAACATTTTTCAAATAAAATTTTATTTAATCCCATGATTCTTATCGGAGGTTTCATGGAAGTGGCCAAAAGCTCGTATAAATAGAAATAATTCTCATATAAAAAATATTAATTTTGTAAAGTATCAACTGGTTTCTTCGCCACAATTTTAAAATGTATTTATTTATTTATTTTTCTCTAGTCAAAACTACAACAGGAGCTCAATTCAAAAGAAGCGAAGATAAAACATCTCAGGGTGAGATAAAGTAATTATTTTATTCTGACAAAAGCTAAATTAATAAACGTTTATGTTCGGAATTTTCAGATAATTTTAATGAAATTAGTTCATTGATATAGAATTATATGTATAATATGTTTACTTTTTGCTGTGAGGAAAAAAGAAAGAAATACTTTGTAATTCTTCTCTTTTTTTAGAGCAATTTAAACTATTTTTTGTAGTTTCATATTTTATCATGCTATTACTGCATGTATTTGTTATTCGTTGGTATGAATATTTTTCACTATTTAGATCTAAATTTTGAAGGTATGTTTAAGTATTAAATTTTCGATTTCAAAAGGAGGTTTAAAGTAACAAATGTTTTACTCTATCTATTGTTCTCTGTTTTCTATTCGATTTCAATGTATACGTCATTTTTTGATTTATATACATTTCTGGAATTCCCCAAGTCTTTGTTTGCTATGTAGATTAATGATTGACTCTTGTTTGTAGGACTGTTGGTCTAGATAAATGAATGCTAATGTTGTTACAGTGTTAGATTTAGACCTTACCTGTAAAGCGAAATGTTGTTTAGGGCGGGGTAGGGGCCACACCCAGTTTTCAATCTGTCCAAATACAAATGCATCAAAATTAGGAAAATTACTCTCAGAAAAAGCAGGAGAATGCATAAGAAATAATCCAGAACCCAAGAGCTTCTGGGACCCTAACACGAACCTTGGACTCAGGCCGTAATGGATGCAGTTGTGGCATATATTCCCTCACTTTGCTTGGTCAAATAAACCTTGCTCCCACACACACATACACTTTTAATTTGTCTCTTATACTTCTGTTTATATTGGTTATTTTGGTGAATGAAAGGGTGAGCTGAATGGCGTTATCTCACACTACTTGTCTTTACTTAATTTTTCTACAATCAAAATACGCAAGAGGGACTTAGTTTTTAAGTTTATAATATTTACTTTTGCACAAGTCAAGCTGATTAACAAAGTCTCAATAGGCAAGCTTCACTGCCTGACTATAAATGGATAATGATTGAGATACACTCCCAAGATCATGTTTCTAGAATTTAGGTATAATCCATGTTTTTCTTGCCCCTAGCTATTAACTGCTCATAAATAGGATAACAAACACTTCCAGAGGTGAAAAAAACAACAAAAAACAAGTGACGGTTGTTGGATATACAAGACTGTTTAGTGTAAGAGCTATTATTTAGTTAATTTAGTGATACAATATTTAATGATTATTTGGTTTTTATAACAAGAGTGTTAAAAGTTAACTATTTTAAAGTCGATAGTTCTAACAAGTTTCGTTACTTAACTCTGTAAGAGTCGTACGATGTGTGTAGTTCAATTGTTATAGTATTATTGAACATCATCTTTCTCGAAACCTCTAAGTTTTTCTCGCTGTGTGAGTATTGTTACATCATAGCATCTCCTAGTTTGTAGAAAGTTCCAGGCCTCAGTTGAAAGGTATATATATATATGTATATATAGATGACCAGGTGAGTGCAAGTCAAGTAAAGTTCAGTCAGAGCAATGTTAGTTAGTTAAAGAAAACGTGAGGTTAGCCGGCGTGTGAGTGATTAGCCATAACCGGTGATTTCTATAAGGTGTTTCACAGCTGTATTGTAACAACAGAGATAGGAAAACTAATTTATCTTGCCAGTTGGGTTCTAAAGCAACTGAATCAGCCTGTGTGGACTTTT